AGAACTCCAGTCCCAGAAGGCTTCCTTGGTGGAATCGTTCCAGAAACTGATGGGAGGAAAAAAATACCAGTCTTAGCACAAACTCGGAGCAGAACCACGAAAAGAGGAAGGCATTATTCAACTTCTTTTTAACAACAGGCGAGTCTAACTTTGGAGACAGAACCTGACAAAAACATTCCAGAAGAACGTGGAGGGTTGCTTTGGTTTTCACCAGAGACGCAAAAACTCCTAGAAACAGCGTATGAGTAACCAAGGATGACAGAAGACAAAACAAAAAATAGAAAAGAAAAAAAAGGAAAAAATATGAGCAACACCGAACTCAGAGACAGTGGAAAAAAGAGAGAATTCATCACACGCGAGTGTGGGTTTCGTCCCAGGATTGCGAGATTGGTTGACTGTCCGAAAATAATTCATGCAATTCGTCCACTTAAGAAAGAAGGCATCCTAGACATCTCAATAAGTGGCAGAAAAGCATTTGATAAAATGTGCTGACATTCACCTCCCACAATAAAAACTCTAAGCAATAAGGAGATGGAGGAAACTTCCTCAATCTGACAAATTGGGTACAAAAGCCCGCAGGAACTCGTTCATAGCTGTAATGGTAAAACATAAGAAGCCGTGTGGGGATGGGCAACTACGCGCTAACCGTAACATTTGTACCCCCATAATATGCTGATAAAAAAAATAAAAAATAAAAAATAGACCATAAAAAGCTTCCTTCTTTGAAATGAAGGACCAAACTACAGAATCACTTTTGTAAGGCTGGCTGTGGCCCCCTCACCCTTCCGCTAGATCAAAAAAGAAAAGCTCACGAGACCGCCAGACGCCGACAAGGACAACAACTGGCCAGGCCCGCTGAAGAGAACCCCACGCCAGAAGTCCACCTGGATAAGAACGTTTCCTCTGCCCTGGATTCCGACAAATAATAACCTGCAGCCTCTATTTCTCAAACGACCACCCAAGGCCACAATAGAGAATCGCCCAGCTCTTCCTCCACAGTCCCTAGCCCCGCCCAACAGGGTCTAAAAGCCCGCCGCCTTCAAGATGGCAACTTCTGGGGCCCCCTCTTGGGCCCGCAAGAAGCCTCGTACAGGAAGTGTATAATTAAAGCCCGCTGTTCTGCCCACTCTTTCTCTCTCTCTGTTTCCTTTTCTTCGCCACCGCTGAAAACCTACAGGCCTTACCATCACTTCCTTTCAAGTAAAATCAGGGGAGTCCTAGCCAGGTAGCAATAAGGCTGGGAAAACAAATAAAAGCTTAAGATTGCGATGGAGAACTGGAAAGCTGTCTTATTTGTAGACCATACTCTACAGATGACTGTTAGAAATAGGTGATTTTGGGCAAGGTCCCTGGGATCAAGGAAAATATGCAAAAATCAAATATTTCTAACTATTAGCCCAAACAGAAAACACCTTTTGAAGTAAAACAATCACTTTAAAACACGCATTAAAAAAGTCAATACCTATAAAGTAAAACTAACCAAAGAGTCGCGAGGCCTGGTGGCTCCATGCTTATGAATCTTAGGCACTTTGGAGGTCAAGGCAGGAGGCCAGGAAGTGTGAACCAGCCTGAGCAAGAGTGAGACCGCTGTTTCTACAAAAATGGAAAAAATTAGGGCCAGGCATGGTGGCGCATGCCTCTAGTCCCAGCTACTAGGGAGGCCCGAGGCAGGAGGATCCGGCTTGACGCCAGGAGTTAGGAGGTTGCAGTGAGCTAGGCTGACGCCAGGGGCACTTCCACTCTAGCCTGGGCAACAGAGCGCAGACCCATCCTGAAAAAGAAAGCAAACCAAAACCAAACGAAACAAAAAATTAATAAAGGCTAGCACAGAGCCCTACACCGAACCACTCAGAAACACATAATTCGAAGAAATTAACAAGAAGCCTAAGTATTTATGTGTCTTAATGGACTACAGAAAGTTTAATATTGTGAGAAGTCAATTTCCCCTCATTTATCTGTAGACCTTTCAATGCAATCCAATCAAATCCTAACAGCTGTTTTAATTATCTAATCTATTGGACAAGCTGATTTATTAAAAATTCAATGTGAAAATGTCAAGGACCAAGAAGTAGCCCACGGCAGTCTTGAGGAGAAGAACTAATAGTACGACTGGCAGTACGCCAGATATACAAGAACCAGAGCTATGGTAGTCAAGACGATTTGGTTGTTGGTATAAGACAGCAACTGGCCCGTGGAAGCAGGACAGAGGGTCAGCTGACTCTGGCAGAGGGAACACAACAGAGAGTTAAGATATGCTGTTTCAATAAATGGTCGTGGGACATTTGGATATCACATGAAAAAAAGTGCCACCTTGACCTAGCTTCAACACCAAAAGTCTATTCTACCTTTGCTTTGCAGATCTAATTAATAAACATACTAAGCAATAAAACATTTACAGGAAAACAAAAACATCCTTTGTAACCTTTAAGAGTAGGCAAATTATTTTTTTTTTTAAGAGACCAGGGTCCCACTCCTGTCACCCAGGCTTGGAGTGTAGTGGCATGATACATAACTCACTGTGGCCCTGCACTCCTGGGCCCTTCAAGCAATCTCCCCCCCTCCAGCCTTAACAGTAGTAGGCAATGATTACTTAACAGGCACAAAAATGGCACTACTACCAAAAGAAAAAAATTGATAAATTGGATTATGTGATAAGAACATCTTTCAACAAAAGACACCACTAATACAGTGGAGAGGCAAGTCAGAGACATGGGGTGAATGTTTGCAGTGCTAGAGCTGCATGGCAAACCTCGTATCCAGAATCTAGAGAAAGAACTCCTAACAAAGTCAGTTAGAGAAATCCAGCACAAGAGAAACAGACTTGAACAGACACTTGACAAAAGAGGAAGCTCAAAGGCCAATCAACATACGAACAGGGTGCACAAGCCCACTGGTTGTCAGAAAAACAAATAAGATCCATAATATCTACCATTACAGCACCTGTCAGAATGAGGCTAAAATGGAAGACTGATAATACCAACGTGTTAGCCACGGATATGGGGCACATAAGAGACCCCTCTGGCACTGCCAGTGGAATGACAAAGCCACTTTCACCAACTGGACCTTATCTACTAAAGCCTACATGACATGTACTCCATTCCTAGGAAGACCTCTTCTACAGACAACTCCACCCAACATCAATGCATACATTTATGGTGGCGCAGTGGCTCACCGCCTGTAAATCTAGCACTCTGGGAGGCCAAGCAGGAGATCGCTCATGTAATAGAGTTGACAGAGCCTGGCGAGCGGCACGGTCACTCTCTGTAGAAGAAATTAAGTTGGCAAACATAAAAATATATTGTAAAAAAATTAGCCAAGGAGCAATGGTGGCGCAATGCCTGTAGTCCAGCTACTCGGGAGGCTGAGGCAGAGGTTGCTTGAGCCCAGGAGTTTTGAGGTTGCTGTGAACTAGGCTGACGCCAGCGGCACTCTAGCGCTCGGGCAACAGAGGAGACTCCTGTATCGAAAAAAAAAAAAAA